TGTACAAGCACCAGAGGGGGGCTTGCAGTTAAATAAAGCAGTGCACCAAATGAGAAGGCATGAGAGGGGGCAAAAAGGGAGGGAGAGTTGAAGAATGACAGAAAGGAGAAAGACGAGGGAGGGGAAAGGCGGGGTAAGACTGATTTATTTCCACAGCTGAGTGCTGCCCCTCTCCTCTCCTTTCTCCTCTCTGGTTTGGATTGCATCCGTTAGTGAAAAGTGACAACAGAACACAGAGGAAGAGTGAGGGAAGAAAGAATAAACAGTGCTCCTGACATGGATGCCCTGGCACTAGAAGCCACCGGTGGTAAAAAGGCAGCCAATGGGGCAGCAGCAGCTGCCCCCGTGCCAGCTCCTGTCCCTGTGAAACGCAAACCTGCTAAAAAAGCTAAAAAAGCTGTTGTTTTCTTTGAGGTGGAGATACTGGATGCCAAGACCAAGGACAAGCTCTGCTTCTTGGACAAGGTAAGGTTAGGTTAATGTCCTTTAACAAAGATGTCTTGTTATGTATTATTATTTCTTGAACATGCAATTATGTGTTTTAAATATCCGACTTGTTGATCAGAACAGGACAGATGTGTGTAGTAGCACTTTCTAGAGTAGTTACATGTGCTGCAGCTCTCACTGTGGACCATGGGGTGTGTAACACTTGTTCTCACACATCACCCACTGTTGGGATTAATTATGTGGGTGGGGCGGTTGTTTGTTATCATAAGCTGTGGTAAGCTTTTACTGTAAAATGTAATGGACATGACTTATTTATAGTTTATAGTTTAAGTTTCTACTTGGATAGAACCTAATGGCTTATAACATTGTTTAATTATTACTGGCAAGAGCCTGCAGGGCTTTTTGCTTCTCAGTTTCTGGATTCATTGTGCGTTTAAAGCGGGGATCTCAAACTCAAATGAGCTTGGAGCCACCGCTGCAGCCATCATTTCATTGGAGGGTCATCTTAGGGTTTGACATTCAATACAAGAAAGATTCTCTAATATAAATGCTGTATAATATTCTAGTTCAAACAACTATAATTTTTCCTAACCTTGAATAACCACCTGAATCATTTTAACAATTGTGGAAAAATTGAATTTGTTTTGACATTTAGGTAGGGGCCAGGTGTGAGGGGTTCATGGATAGAAAGTGGCCCCTGCTGTTTAGACGTTTCAGACATTTGTTTTTAACTTTAATTTAAAAGGTTTTCTTTTTTAAAACGTTCTATTTTGTTTAAAGCAAAATTGAATCATTTATTTCAGTCTTTAATTAAAACAGAGAAAAGTCTGAATATGTAATCCCACCAGTCAAAGGCAGGAGACAAATCATCAGTTAGCTCTTCTACCACTAAACTTCCTTTCCGCCACTTAAATTGATTAGCTTGATGCTACAGTATAAAGTGAGTTTAAGCAAAAACCTTCTTTTATATTTGTTTTTTCTTCTCTCCCTGTATAAAACATGTATTTGAAAATTAAATAATGTAACATAAAAAAACACTTAACAGAAGCGACGCATGTCTGGATCTGGGAATTTGGAGCCGTGATTAGTGGGGGTCATGGAGAGGCTTCTCAGTGATGTAATCCTTCTGAAAATGGCATGTGGCCTTCTTGTGCAGAGCTGCAGTTGGCCACAGTTAGTCCTCTTCCTCTTTCTGGACCTTTGCATTGAAAACAAGTCGACAGTCTAAATTGGTTACTGACTTTTTTGTACATTTTTACATTCAAGTTGATGTCTTGTATGCTACTGTATGTCATGTGAATCGCCCAGAGACCACGATCTTTTCTCGGTAATGTTATAATGTGGTTCCATCTACATTTGAAACTAAATCACTTGAAAGTAGTGATTGAGGCCATAACATGGAGACTAAAAATCTCAAATTGTTTTGATGTAATGAATAAAGCCTGGTTTATTCAGACTTATATTCTAAAAGATCAACAGACTATTGTTTTGACGTTTTGGTTGCTTTGGTTTATGACCTGGCTCATACAATCATGTGACCATAAAATAGTCATTTGGTCAGTTTACCTGAGCCTGTCTCAGTCCTCGCCTCAGTTTGCAGTTTCCAAATTTAACAGCTATCTGCTATCTTAATGTCTGGAGTTGTGGCTCGTGTTGGCATCCTGTAAGGGTTTAGTGCACTGTGGCTTTGTTTTATGCATGGTACAGTTTGTCCTGTGGGTCTGTATTTGTTTTAGGTTTGCTGAAACCCCAATACCAGCTGTTGAATAGCCCACGTCCACGTGGAGAACATAACTCGTGCTAAAATTACCTCTAATCAGCATCATAAATGGAAAGTGGAGCTCTGGTCTGTTCTTGTATGTCCTGACTCTCATTTATTTGGCTGTTATTTGTAGGTGGAGCCAAATGCCACTATTGGAGAGATTAAATCGATGTTCCACAAAAGCCGTGAGTGTCATTCTCCTAGGATTGGGCTCATACACAGTGGCTTTCCTTCTATGTTTTAAGTATTAATCTCTGTCTTTAGATCCTCAGTGGTACCCAGCCAGACAGTCTATTCGCCTTGACCCCAGTAAGTGTTTGCATGTCACCTTGAGTTAAGGGTGTACTACTTTTCTCTAAGAGAAGCTTACAGTTGCAACTCACGATTACTTTAAGAGAATTAATGTGTGTTTTTCAGAGGGGAAGTCTTTGAAGGATGAAGATGTTCTCCAGCATCTTCCTGTGGGTACCACAGCAACTTTGTACTTCAGAGACCTGGGAGCACAGATCAGCTGGGTGACGGTTAGTACACAACTGTCCATCATACAAAACATCTCCCACTAAATCCACCCATATATCCTGGTTGGTCTGCTTATGGCACGGTGTGAGGCAGATCAGACAAAGCTTGATTGACATTTTGTTTTATAATAAGTTTTAGTATAGTACATAATCAAACAATTTGACTACACCTGGGTAGTTCTAGTTCTTTCTTAATATATTATAATATTAATAGTAATAACAAAAAATATAACAATTTTAATATCTACATATTTTAGCAATACAGACCAACATTTTCAACAAGTTCCTAAAACCACATCACTGAATCCATATATCCTGGGTGTAGCTTCTACACCCTCATCTGCTGGGAGGGGGGTCATTACACCAACCATCAAGATCACTTCCTGTTCATTCATTAGTTTCTCCTCTGCTGCTAAATTATTGTTTTTGGTGATATATGCGTGTTAATCTGCAGTTTTAGTTCTGAAATGCTGCTGTTATCCATTGAAGCTAGTTCCTAATTTTTTTTTCTCGCCTGCTTACCGGAAGTTGTTCTTTTCTGACTTTTTTTTTTACCAACCTTGATATTTCATAAACCCAATCTGCTGGTCACATTTGGTAATACACTCAAATCATTACATATGAATCAATACAGAACCAAGATGTCTCCCTTCGATGCGTTTATAATTTCAGTTGGTCTAATACATTGATTGTGTTTTCCTCCTCTCACACTCTCCTTACTCTCTTCTTCATACACACACACACGCGTGCTTTCACCACACCTCCTCACTCACTTATACTTGTCAGGCACATTTGATCTAATTATGTTTTTTCTAATGATATTGTGTTTGTGTGCTGTATGAAACATTAAGTGAGACAATGAAAGCAGGAATTATTTTTATGCTTATGAATTAAAATGGGCTTGGTGAAAAAACCTGCATATACCCGTGTACTGTAGGTGGATATCAGAATCGGAAATGAAGTGCTGAACAGTATTGGAGTGTAGGATATTTGCACACATTATTGAGGTCAACAGTTTCTCAGTATATCTGTGACAATTCATGTTAAATGCATTAGCAATGTGTCACCTGCTCTAGTTCACCTGTTTTGTCTTTTTTAGGTCTTTCTAACAGAGTATACTGGTCCTCTGGTCATCTACCTGATGTTCTACTTCAGGGTTCCTTTCATTTACGCACCCAAATATGACTTTACCACCAGTAAACACTGGGTGGTACAGTGAGTGTCCTTTTTAAATTTTTTGAATTGTAAAAAGCACCTGTTTCAATCATTGCTTACAAATGTTCAGTGCTGGTCAGACATTTTCTTTCTGCTCTGTTTCAGCCTTGCCTGTATGTGTCTCTCTTTCCACTACGTGAAGAGACTCCTCGAGACTCTGTTTGTCCACCGCTTCTCCCATGGAACAATGCCGCTACGTAACATCTTTAAGGTTGGATACGTACAGTTTTTCGAGCTCATCGTGTCTTGTTGAAGGCTGTGCCTCGTGTGTGCAAGAAGCAAATGACTACTTGTTATTTCCAGGAAGCATCTTTGCCAAAGACATTATTAATATTACGAACCTGTATGTTTCAGAACTGCACGTATTATTGGGGCTTTGCAGCATGGATGGCCTATTACATCAACCACCCTCTGTATACACCACCCGGTAAGTTATCATCCACCAGCACATACGTTACATATGTACACACTGGTGTAGGTTGAATCAAGATGCCTCTGTCATTTCTTCATTGTTTATCTTGTGTTGTTTCAGTTTATGGAGAGCAGCAGATAAGAATGGCCCTCATCCTATTTTTGGTAAATCTTTTTAGCGTAAACAAATGTTTCTGTGTTGTATTGAGCAGCATTAAATTGTCAAATTTGTTATTGAAGAGTGTGTCTCATTACTTTTTCTCTGGTAATCTCATTTTGAAGACACAGGTCCCAACTTTTAACTATCTGTGCAATATGTTGTAAAAGCACAATTATTAATGAAATATGTTAACCTTCATTTTTCTTCCTTAGTTCTGTCAGATTGGCAACTTTTCCATTCACATTGCTCTGAGAAACCTCCGTCCTCCAGGTATAGATATGCATGCATACAAAATTTAGTAATACTTTTAGAAGTTACAGAAGTGTTGCTTCAGTGTTGTTTTCATGTATACATAACATAAGAAATAGGCATTTTTCTAGGTTTCTTGAATTGTAAGTCAAACTGCAGTGGCTTGAATCCATTGATTTATATTATTTTCATATAGGCTCCAAGACCAGGAAGATTCCTTACCCAACAAAGAATCCCTTCACCTGGGTATTTTTGCTTGTCTCCTGCCCCAACTACACTTACGAGGTACCAAGAAAGTTTTTTTTTTTTTTTTTTTTTTTACTCCACGGTACAAGCAGCCTTTGTCCTACCTCCTTTCTGCACTGATGAGCACTTTGACCGACTGATCTTGGTTAAATCACCTATCTTTTCTCGTCCTCTGATAACTCCTACTCCCTCCATTACTTTCCTCACCTCTTTGTAACACTTATTTGTCTTTTCCTTACTTTAGAAGTTTTTCACCTCCCCACACCCCATTTATATTTATTTATCGGTACAAACCACTGTATGAGTTGCTGGCTCCAGCATTCTGCATCGATTCCCTGATTATTAAAATTGATTTATTAAATGAGCTGCAATGCTGCCATCTAGTGACATTCACTTTTATATACAGCCGTTTTTCCCCAAACTATTTTTCAGGGTACACATCAATTGTTGAAACACAGGTATTGCGTTACTGGGTTTTCATTATCGGAGGAAAAACCATAACGACTCTTGCAGATGTTACATAATTATGCTAACATAGGTCAGGTAATATTATCCTAAGTCTCTAGTATACAACAGGCATGTCCTTTAAGTCCAAACCTACAGCCCACATCTCGCTCCACTCTGTCTACATGTTCTACCACTTCACCTAGCTTACTTAAGAATACTTATTTCTCATTCCACATCTAAGTTGTATCACTATCAACACTCAACAACACACCCCAACCTCTTGACTGACAGTCTGTTCATGTTAACAACATTGTTTACAAATGTTGCCACTTACTGATGCATGTCCTAATCTGGTTACAGCTGGGATCCTGGCTTGGTTTCACTTTGATGACACAGTGTCTGCCTGTGGCATTCTTCACTCTGGTGGGTTTTATCCAGATGACTGTCTGGGCCAAGGGCAAGCATCGCAGCTACCTGAAAGAGTTCCGTGACTACCCTCCTCTCCGCTCACCCATACTGCCGTTTATCCTGTAGAGGGCATCTTGGGAACTTGCTCACCTACCCAACTCTACCAAATTGTAGGAGCCAAGTACATGACCAGAAAGCTACGTCCTCTTGTCTCCACCAGACATTAATATTGTTCACCATTTT